AGGCTGTGTTGGAGATGCTATTTCTGTTTGATAAGAGCTGTCCTGGGCTCAGTGATGTCCAGCCCGAGTCCTAGCCAGATGAGATGATGCAGGAGGGACTGCAAGGGCAGGCAGCACTGACACCGTGTTACAACATCATCTCCCTCCCCAAAGGGTCCAGGAGAAAACACAAAAGCCATTATTATATAATGACCTACTTGGAACAAGGGCATTTGTGGGATTGGAAACAAAGTGCAGTGCTTTGGGCCACAGATATCTTTGAGCCCAAACTGAAATGTTTGCACTCCCAGCCCAGGAACATSTGTCCCAGAGCAGAGGAGGGGATGCTGTGTCCCCCTCCTGATTGCAATTAGACCATTGTTATTGCTAGGAAGGAGCTCATCTTGGTAAATGCGATTTTTTTCCTCAAAAATGCAGCATGCTATGGAAAGGAAGGGTCCATTTCTTCCTCMTCTCCACCACCCCTTCCCCATGGGGAGAGAATGAAAGCAATTGAAAGTGTTCTTCCTAACGGGCCTGAGGACTTTTGGCTGGGTTTATRAGGAAGGGGGACTCACCAGGGACACAGAGGAAGAAATGAAAAATAAAGGAGATGATGAGTCCCACAGTGCTGCACCACTGCACAGAGCTCCAGAAACAGCTCTGGCATCTCCCTGTGCCAGAGCACTTCCCATGGACCTTTCAGAGAAAGSAACTCACAGAGGTCCCCTTTTAGGAGATCACAGCCTTCTTTCCCACCAGGCATCAAAATAATCACCACACCAAAGCTGAAATCTGAGCCACCATTTGTTAATTGTTAGAGCCAGCCAAATTTGACAAAATAACAGCCGTGTTCTGGGTTAATGCTGGTTTATCCCGGAGTACAGTTATTTCTTCATAAACAGGAAGCACTCAAGTTACAGTCAAATTAGATTTATTTYCCTGCCTTATCTATTGAGTCGACCATTTTATTAGCTTTCTACTTTTGAATTTTGTATAATTCATTTCCTCCTGCCTCGTAACCCTTTTAGATGTCAATAAAATATCCATTCTCCCAACAGAAGCAAAAATCCCAGCCATTAGCAAAGTCAGAGTGAATGCAGTGTGACACCAGAGGGCATTATTAAAGAAGGGGCTGTGAAAAACCATCCCAGAGCAAAGTTACCAATTTACCTAACAAGAGACAAATCTGCCTTCTGAAATGGCAGGTTGGGCAATACATGAAACCAATTWAAAAAGCTGGAAGGAAACCAACAGGAAGCCATTTCTCCCTCTCTCTTTCATTTTGCAGCCTTCTCAGGATGAATGCTATATCCCATTAAGTGCAAAGAGGAGTGCAAACAGTGAGCACAAACACAGCACTGCCCTGGCAGCTGTTTGTTTAGCTGTGCTGCCTGTTTGAGCAGCATACACTCATTCTGGAGCCATCAGCTGCTGTTTGCTGGAGCATTTTAGTGACCTGGTCAGAGGGGTTTGGGCCAGCGTGTTGACAAATGCCTTTTGTGAGTAAGAAAGCTCCTGGGACAGTTCCCGTTCCCTTCTGGCTCTGTCCCTCACCCAGGGGATG